TTTTTTTTTTTAAATATGTTAACTACCCTCCTGCACAAAAGGTTACAATTGTGACAAAACCCAGCATGGTTCATCTTCGCCTGACCTGGAGTTCAAGAAGCAGGAATGTAGATGGAGAGAATCAATGATGCCAAAAGATGATGGAAAGAATGAAAAGTAGAAGGGAGAGGGGTAGAGAGAACACAGAGTATGGTACTCCTTGTTTCATTTCTGACTCCATGGACACAGCTCAGAAGGAGCACTGTGGGCCCCTCTGAGGGAGGGCTAGAAACTGGCAGGCTTCCTTCACTCAGAACTATTGAGAGTTCTGGCTTCTTGGCCAGAGATCGGTATCCATGGCTCAAGGAGTTAGCATTCCTGTTGGGGAGAGTCTATGAAAGAAGATAAGCGTTTTCAAGTGGATTCAACATTTCCCCATGGGCCTCTCCAATTGTCCCACCCTCCCACACACACTACTCATAAGCTTGCTGAAGAAAAGTAATTTCACTAATCCAGACTCAGCTTGACATAACAAAAGAGGCAAGCAGAATTCTTACCGTGAGAATGTGTAGGTAAGTACTATTTACTCTGCTCTTTAACAGAAATTTAGTCTAAACTTTAGACGATAAAGCAAGCTACCTGAAAACATATCTCTTTGCTGTTTCGTTACCTTATCCCTCCTTTATAATGTTAAACTTTTTCCTCTATTATCGATACCAAAGGGCATTGACAGCAATCCATTTGTAGCCTAAGTGTATGTATGTCCTTAGCTCTGAGAAGACTAATTCGGAAGGATTCAAAGATATAGCATTGCCCATTAGAGTTCAGCAGAGAAAGATGTTGGTGGTTTTAGTGTCAGGATATATGAAGGGTGAGCAGGATCTAGGGTCTGAGGTGTGTGGGGGTGGGAACTGAGGAATTTATGTCCAATCCAAGGGTTTCATCAATGCTGCCCATACTAGTCATCTTGAATGTCTGTTCAATTTCTTGATCAGTAGATCCCATTCTGTTTGCTCTTTGAGATTTTGACTTTTGAGATTTGGCAGGGCATTGTTAGACTCCAGCATCACAACTCTGAAAGCTCCTTGGAGGGAGGAACTGAGTCTGGTTCACTAGTCCTCCCAGCTGTTAGAAGATCACTTGGCTGAATGAACTCATGCATATGAGAATGAATGCAGAGACTCCAAAGTAGCTCTGCCATAAGACCCCAAATCCTCCCCATCCTGCCCCAGACCTCTGGGAATACTCTTCAGGATCCTTGATGAGTATTAGAAGTGAGTTCTCTTTTTGAATTAATAATACTTTATATATGCAGGGTGATTCTGGGTTGTTTTTTTCCAAAAAGTTTTTCATATTGTACTTATCTCCTGGTCTTTACAGCAATCTGACTGGAAGCTATGTAAGGAACTTATCTACTATCCCTATTGTATTTGCAAGACATTGAGGCACAGAGGATTGCTTTGACCCTCGATTTTCTATTTCACTCTTGAAACTCATTTTACTATAAAGAAAAAAAAAATCCAATAATGTGATTTCAGCTGATTCAGCAGCTGTGGGTGGTTTCAGGTAAACACATGTTTCCAACACTGATTTCTGACTAAAAGCCAGGATTCAGTGGCCAAGTATTGTTTATTTGGTTAGCCATGGTGCGGGGAGAATCTTGGTTTATCACCTCTAGACAATGAAGAAGATGGACAGGCACCTGGTCAAGGGACTGATGCACAAGCACGTTGACTTGGAGATGAAGACTGCCAAACAGGCTGAATTCAGACTCAACCAAAGCACGCAGAGACTAGAGAACATCTGTCTCTACAATATGAAGTTGCTGACCAGAGAGCAGAAACAGGTCCAAAAGGAGCTTCAGAGGTTACAGCAAGGTAAGTTAGCACTGGGGAGAGGCTGAGCAGGACAACAAGCACACCACTTATTTTCTGAGACTTGGCAGGCTTTATTAGATAACAGAATCACAAAGCTGTACGGTTCCTCAGAGGTGGGAGCTGCATCTCATTCACCAAGACCCTCAGCTTTTAGCACAACAACTGGCACAATGTAGGGTCAGAGGCTGAATGAACCTTTGGAAAAATAAAATATAGAGGCCCAAGAGTGACTCTGCCATTGAGTCCCGAAATCCCCTTGGCCCTGCCCCAGACCTCTTACATCACAATAAAGGCCTTCCCAGATCCTGGATACTAAGGAAGCAAGAGATCCCAGTCTCAATCTGGTTTGTAGGTCATTCAACGCTCTCAGCTTCTCCCTCTCTCAATTGAAGTTTCCTGGAGCAGTTCCTACACGATCTGTCTTGAGCTAACACTTTGCAGGTTTCCAGTCTCTGTGTTGCTGTGTTTAGATAGATACTGTCAAATCGAGTCTTTCCAAGTCTATCTTGTTGTAATCATTGGTTTCCCACTTATTTTATTTCATCTTCTTTTCTTTTGCCATATCTGAGTTGTTTGGTTACGTCCCTTTTTGATGTCTGCTCTTTCTCTTCTGTAGCTAATAATCACTTATTGAACAGCTACTAATGTTCCAGTCTCTGTCCTGTTATCTTGGCTCATTGCTATTGAGTCAGTTCTGACTCCTGACAACCCCATTTGTGCAGAGTACAAGTGCTCCAGAGGGTTTTCAACACAGTGACCTTGTGGAAGCAGATCTCTGAAGCTGTCTTATGAGGCTTCTCTGGGTGGGTGTGAACCATTTGCACTACCCAGGGATACCAGTCACTGTCCTAACCCTTCTCATTTACTGAAAGAAAAAAATCAAAGAAAAACATTTTTCTGGGGTGTGCCACAAGAGCACTACATATAGATACAAAAGACAACTGACCGGGATACATCTATAAGAGGGCTGGTTAAGAAACATTTGGTAGTTTTCAATACTCGCCAGTCTGAGATTCAGGCTCTTCCTTTCCTCTGTAGAAAGAGAATTCCTCAACTAACCTTTTAGTTCTACAAAGTTTATTCACACTGAAGTCTGTAGATGCTTTCTTTTTCATTTTAAGTCAAAGGGAAAATACTTCTGTTTGTTTCCCCAAAGAGGCACCTTTGCTCCAAAGCTGTGTGCTCATAGTCTTTTTTGTATTTTCGTCCATTAAACCTTCTGCCCCAGAAGAATTAACGCTTCCTAAACATATGTTGTTGTTGTTGTTATATGCCGTGGAGTCGGTTCCAACTCATAGCGACCCTGCATAGGGTTTCCAAGGCTGTAAATCTTTATGTGAGCAGAAAGCTTCATCTTTCTCCCACGGGAACAGCTGGTAGTTTCGAACTGCTGACCCTGAGGATAGCAGCCCAATTTGTAACCACTATACCACCAGAGGGGCTGAAATTTTCTCATTATCTTTTCATTCCATGTTTTCAAAAATATTCTGATGCCCTCTCATGAATCACTTTAAAAATTATACAATTAATATCTCTAAATACTGATGTGATTCTTTATGGTAAGCACTGAACTGCTAACCTCAAGGCTGGCAGTTCAAATCCACCAGCCATTGCTGGGAAATCCTATACAAAGTTGCTAGCTATAAATCATAACCTACACATAGGCACTTAGCAACAACAAAAACAATGTAAGTAATATACTTATATAATAATGTTAATATATTAATTATTATAATGTGTTATATTATAATGGCATCTGCTCCCACAAAGAGTTAAAGGGTCATTATGAATTTGAACTGACCTGACAACACTTAATAACAACAGTAATTATAATATATAACTTAGGGCTATTACTCAGGGCTTTTGTACATACAGAAAGCTTGGCTACAAAAGCCTAGAGGAATGTCCAAAAGTCTGTGCTGGAGATTATCTCTAAACTCCAGCTTGGGGCTTCAAAGATGACTGTCGGGGACCCGCCTCGACATTGGGGTTCAGTTCACGAGGGGAGGATACCTGACGGCGACTCAAGAATACACAGAAAGAGACAAAGGAGACAAAGAGAGAGACAAAGAGGCACCCCAAAGCCAGGGTGGATACATCACTGATAGGCAGGCTTGGGACTACAGG